TTCGAAGCATGATCAGAAGCAATTTCTTCCCTTAGCAACTAGTAACTTCCAGAATTTGTTCCACAAAGTTGGCTGGAGTTAAGAGATTCCAGCTATCTGTTCCGTTTGCGGTTTTTCCGCGCGAAAACTCATAAAGTACTCTTTCACTTCGCTTGCATTCCAACTTAATTAGAAAGAAAAGCGGGAAAGCATTCAACCGAATTTACAGTCCTTCTTTTCCCAGTTTTACTCCTTTTTACTTCCTCAACATACTTTTCTTATTTATTTGGTGCCTCTTATTTTCCTGCAAGACCAAACTCTGGATCGATTTGCTCACTAGATTGACCAAAATAATTGAAGGTTTGTTTCTAGAAAGAGGAGTCTCTTTTCAAATTTCTTCCTTATTTTTAAACTTGTCTAATTTATGTCAATAATATTAGGAAGCCACTTTAATTGACCGATTTCATTAATTTTTGCATTCTTTCTACAGAGCCTGTGAACTTGGTTACAAATTTGTAGTTTCCTAAAGTAAATCAACATTATATTTTATCAAACGTGTAGGCGTAATCTGAACAGCTTAATTCTACACGGAACATTTTGATTTCGAGTATTCTTCTGTTTCGATTTTTCTAAGAAAATAATAAATATATAAACATATTTTGACTTTATTTTATGTATATTAACCCTAAGCATACATTAAAGTAGAATAATTGAAAAATGTTGATTCGCTAGTAATGTATGGCTAGATATGCTTGTCAACACACAATTTTTTTTTTTAAATGTACATACACTTTTGAAGAACAAAATACATAATTTAAATTCTGAATGGCCGCAATTTTAACTCTGAATCTGCATCATGCATAGTAATATACAAATTCTGAATTCAAATTTTCAAGTGATGTTATAATGAGCTTTTACAGTTATCATAGTTGCTGTGAGCATAAATCATAAAACAGGATTTATCAAAAATCGAATTTAAAGTTCAAAGATAAACATTAGGTGTCACATATACGCAGCTATTCCTGTTGCCAAAAGGAAATGAGAAAATTCACAATAAAAATGCTTTGCCAGATACTCCAGACCAATTCAAATGCTTTTAAAATTACTTAGTTAACAAATGACACAAAAAAGAGCGAAAGCTGCTCTTTTAATTTGTCCTTTAAACGTTTACTTCAGCTGCAGCATACAAACTTCTGGATTGTCGAAAAAACAGAAAAAATGGTATATCTCCACTTCTTATAAGCATATCAAAAAAAGAAAAGCTGTTTTTGATAGCTAAGAGTGAGGCCTTTAAAAATGTGAAACAAAAATATTTTAAATTTGGAGGCAAAATCGGGCTTTTGAACGAAATAAGTTACCGTAAGAGAAATTTGAGTAAAAAATGACTAAATTTTAAAGACCTACAAAGAAATCAAAGGTACATTAATGGAGAAACAATGCAATAAATATTTTTTTTCCTCATTAGATAGAGTCATTTGGAGGATCTTCATTTCTCAGAAATTTCTAGTACTAAAATTTGTCTTTTTCTAAATATTTGCTCCATTTTCAAACAGTTATGTTTTCAAAAGTTGATATTGATAAAAGTTACATTTTTAGCGTCAAAGAAAAAATCATGTGTAATATTCTAAAAAAAAAATCCTAACGTACGGCAGCTGATCATAGCAGAACTATTTGCTTTAGTAAATTCTTTACCTTATCTTTTTCTTCCTTTGAATTTTTTAAAAGTCTATTCGAATTGATAATTTTTTTAATAAAGAGGAAATATACTGAGAAATAACAGTCCGTATACTAAGCATGCTGCATGAGACATTGCTAGAACCAAATAAAAATTGATGTAATAGATTTTATGAAATTCATTAGAAATTCAATAAGTGTGAGGTGGAAACTATAATTATAAGGTAATTCTCTCACTTCCCTAGCGTGCCTTCGCGGTGTAGTGGTCCAGCACACTGAGCCGGTAATTCAGAGGTCCGTGGTTAGATTCCCGGTTAAGGCAGTTGCAAATTTTTCATCTTTCCTGCTTCCATTTAACCTAATGACTCTACAAAATATGTTTGTCTTTTGAATCATGCAAAGTAAAAAAGATTAAAAATTATATGTAAGAAGTTTTATTTTGAAAATTCCAAACGCTTTCTCAGATAAAAGAAGTAAACCCTTTTCATTACATAGCGAATGTTTTTGTTCATTTATTGTTGAATCTTTTCTCAATACTGGCGGAATATTTTCAGTATTCCGGTTGAATGAATCGTGATAACTACTGTGTTTTTCAGCTCTTATCTCATCAAAAGGTTTATCATTTTCGATGAAATACATATTCCTTCGCCATTTCTTTCTTACGTGATCAGCTTTCTGTTTGTGGAACTCGAATATCGGATGGCAAATCGTTATACAATGTTAAAAAATGTTTAATCTGAAATGATATGTTAACTAAAGGCTCAAAAGCATTGAAGGTTCTGATTTTACAATAACGTATCCAGCACGATCGTAAACGAGAACCAAACTGTAAATGAGTTTCCTTTCTCAATCTTTTCGCCTGCCGAAATTTTTTAACATACACTTGGTGGCAATACGTATTTTTTAATAATTAAAGATTCGTTGGTCTTATAATAATTCAAATTATCATCTTTAGCGCTAGAATATTTGAAGTTTATCAGCTATCAGTTTAACTGAAATTTCAGACTTAAATTCATTTTGCACATTTGTACGTTTGAATCCTCTTTTCAGCTGAATGAAAAAATAAGTTCCATGCTTCGTACCTTTTAGGTACAATAATCGATTACGTTTGTATGAATTTCAAAAATTATCTAATGAAAGTATATTTTCGACGCTGTTACTAGTATCATTATTGGTTTCAGTTTGTAACAAACAGATTTCGAAATGTACTTCGATATTTTCCCTTCACAGTAGTTTTAAGCAATATATTGTTTTTTAAGTTTTAAAAGTTTATGTTCCATTTCTACAATTTTAACTGGGATCAACGTTTTCACAGAGTTCTTTCAAAACAGAAAGAAGTAAGGCTATTTTTACTTACTCCCTTAAACATGTTTATAAATAATTATTCTCAAAAATTACAACAAATTTCTTACATTTTTTGAAAATAAAATCATTTTTGAATTAATTATCCTCGGAACGTAATGTGATGTCTTGGTTAACACATCTAAGATAAATAAATTCTAAATTTCTTTAAGGATATGTGAAATAATTAATAGAAAATTATTTTGTATGTTAAAATATGTTAAAATGTAACACATAATTCGACATTTCTTGTAAAATATGGAAAATAAACATGCAATGTTCTAAAAAATTCTGTGTAATGTAAAGCAGTACTGTTAATGAAACTGAGAAAAAATCTGATGCGGACATCACATGACTTCCTTGTACGGCTATTAAATTTTACACATTTTTTGCTGCATTACATTTAAACTTGTTTCCCCAAATTTCATTATGGATATATTCCTCATTCAATCAATTCAGTTCTCACTTCGCAAAATAAAAATGCATAAAATTCAAAACATCTTCAGTAAAAATTCCAAAAATACAAAAAACACCAAATGCAGTTAAAGCAGTTCAAAAAATTTTTTTTTCGATTAAAGTTAGAGTTCTACGCAAAAACAAGCAATTCGGCAATTCTAAGAATGAAAGAATTAGATACGAATTAAATATGTTATGCTTATTTACAATAAAAGTGCTAAAATCTCTTTGGGAATTCAAATTCATAAAATTCAAAACATCTTCAGTAAAAATTCCAAAAATACAAAAAACATAAAACACCAAATGCAGTTAAAGCGGTTCAAAAAAAATTTTTTTCGATTAAAGTTAGAGTTCTACGCAAAAAAACAAGCAATTCGGCAATTCTAAGAATGAAAGAATTAGATACGAATTAAATATGTTATGCCTATTTACAATAAAAGTGCTAAAATCTCTTTGGGACTCATAGAAAATAATGATTATGCTGATTAAAAAAACAAAAAAAAATTCTAAGTTAGGGAGAAAGACGACAAAACTTACCTTTCCATTTTTCCTGAACCACTAATTCCATCTATAAGTCTTATTTTTTAGATTTTACTCACAGATCTGACTATAATTCGAATCTAAATAAAACAGTACAGCTTGCACGTTTTTCTGTGTAGTTAAAAATAGTCCATCATGAAGTCAACGTGTACCTTGTTAGATATGTCAAGACTGAAATAAGCTCGAATATCATTACTGTTACGAGGCTCTGATTCCAGTCATGCCATCATGTTAACCCATTTTATCCCAATTTATTTATTTTTTTCAAATTTGAAAAGAATGATATTTTCTAAGGTTAATTAAACCTAAACAAACTAAATATAATAAAATTAGAAAATTTTTTTAATATTTATAAGAAATCTGCCCCGCCTCTAAATAGGACACTGGGATAAAGGGATAAAATTTGCATTCATGTTTTTAGTGTTCTCTTCAAGGATGAAAAGTAATTTTTCGTGTACAAATTTTACTTAATTCGACTAATACTTTCTTATTTACAAGATAGTTCACTTTTTAGATGAATTTCACTCTAATCTTGGTGGAAAGGTCTAAAGCAAGCCTGACAAAGTGTTTTGGCATATTTACCACAGTATGTTTTGGTCTCTCTTTGCAGCCTTCTCTTTGACAACGATGCTGTTTTTCTCGCTTTAGTAAAAAATGACCAATACTATCTTTACAGATGCCTTCTTTTGCATCACAAGGTACAGTCCAGATTCTACGTCTACCTTTTGTTCTTATCACAGTTTCTTTTAGATAAACTGCTGTTACAGCTCTTCGGAACTCCTTCAAGTTTAGAGCTTCATTTTTGTTCAGAGTTTTGTGAATTATCCAGGCGTTTACCATAGCCATATACAGCGAACGTATAAAAAGTGGCCAGTACCACTTTTTTCCACGAATTTTAATGGAATAAAGTCCAGTCAACCAGTCGTGGTGATCCACACCGCCCATGCGATTGTTGTAGAATTAATCAAATTTGGCATCTTCACTTTAACTTTATCTTTGTGTCCTCTCACTCACCTCTTCAGATCAAAGAATGGTTCGAAAGTGCTGAAATTTGCAGCAACAGTGACAGTACTATTATCATTCCATCGCACCAGGAAAATCTCAGATTTCTCGTCAAATGCAAAATCAGACGTGCCTCTTTCTTTCTTCCGCATAGACTTGGATTCTTCTAAAGGAAACTCGTGGTTTAGCCGATTTTCTCGTATGGTTGCTGTAGCTCGAAAACCCTGTTCACCAAGACTTTCCAAAAGATAAATGCTAGTAAAAAAGTTATCAAAATATTAAGTGTAGCTTGAAGAATTCACAATATTCTGTGTTAGTTTCATCGCAAACCGAGTACAAAGGCTAGTATCATTTCTGGCATCAGATTCTTTACCGCAAAAGAGGGGAAAATTGTAACGATATCCTTCGCTCCCACACAAAGCCCAAAGTTTATATCCAAAACGTATAGGCTTGCCTCCGATAAACTGTTTCAGACTATTCCTACCGTAATACATGACGATCATTTCATCAATTCTTAGATTTGCGAGAAGTGTCCAAATTTCATAAAATTATTATTGAGTACGGCAAACAAAGGTTTTACTTTGAAGGATCGATCCTGGGCATGCTACCTGACAGTTCCATTTTCCACAAAGTATAAATAAGATTTCAACTTTTGGAAGCGGTTTTGTGACATGCCATTCTTCAACAGGGTGATGCCAAGGTCTTCAGCATCTGACCAGTAGTCACGTTCGCAGGTATTTGAATGATAACCAGTTAGAAGCAAAATTCCGATAAAAACACATATTTCGTTGGCAGTGGTCAAGAAATCGTGTTCGTTTTTTACATCTGTTGATCGCACCGTTTCTTTTAAAATGAGATATTAGACTTATTGGTAAAACGCTCAAAAAAGCTCTGATGGATTTTATCTTTCAATGCAGTTTCCATCTGCTTGAGCAAGTCACTTGCATTGATTCATCCTGTTCCATTTTGTCTATTGTGGTGATTTATTCTTTATCCAAGATGGACTGGTTTTTAGCTTTGTCCTACTTTGTTGTGGAAACACTAGAGCTTGTGGACGGTTCAAGCCGGAAACTATCTCCAGTTATAAACTCCAGAGACCCAGGAACATCGGTTACAATAATCTCACCAGTATTTACTTCATTCGCATCCCCTTCATCTTCGTCAGTTAGTTCACTGGCATTTGGTGGTAACACAGCAATTTCAACTTCGCTCTCATCTGAATCTAACCTATTAAATACTTTTAATGCTTCCTCTAACTTCAGAAACATTTGCACTGACATAACTCAGCAGGGGTGAAACACTAGAATTTTTTTTTTACTCTTATTTATAAAGAGGGGAAAGAACGCGTCAATTGTATACTTAATCGTCCCATTGTCCTATTTAGAGGATAGTTAAAAAAGAATGCTCTAAAACTCACCTAATAACAATAAAGCTTTCATCAACCACCAGGATAATAAGGAATGAGTACTTTCACATACGAAATGCCCAGCCGAGTGTCCAAAGTAAACTGAAAACGAATTCTGCAACCACAAAGAGATGAAACAAATCACGCCCACTAATGCGATGAATAATCAAAATGTCCAGAGGAAGGAGGAGGGGGCGAGACACATAAGTCATGCTAGCAGATGCTAATACATATCCCTACATATTACAGCTGGCAAAATATTCGCACCAAGCAAATACTGATTTCTACATGCTATTTTTCAGCTGTCCTTTAAATAGGACAGTGGGGTAAAATGGGTTAAGGGTATGTGCGAAGACGGATATTAAATTTGGACATATAAGGGATATTAAATTTTAGCGTATGTATAGTGCTTAATGAGGATGTATAAAATAAAATCCAAGATGATTTTATAAAGTGTCACAAAGAGTTAACAGAATCTATATTACTAAATTAACCGTTCTCGTGAAAAATAGTGTTCTCGGTATATTTGTATAAATGACTATAGCTTTAATAAAATAAGAAATGTAATATTTTTTCATATGTATTTCATCTAAACTCCACCTGTTTTTCTTAAATGGCTTTTATGCCATACAAAATTTATGATTCGTGAATTAGAAGATATTTTCCAGAGCCAGCATATCTTACAATAACGGAATCTTTGTAAGTCTGCATTTATTTTGGCACAAAAAGAAATAGAAATTTAGCATGAATATGTTTTAAATTTAAGGAAAATTAAAGTAACATGTAAGTAAAAATGTTGAAATATAAACTAAAAAAATTAAAAAATCACATTCATAATCTGGTTTTTATAATATTTGAATAACATTAAGATGTGTAAAAGATAAATGTTTTGCATAGATACAGTTTGGTGGATCCTTTGAATAAAAGTGAGGTGTTTAAAAGACAACCCATAATGATTACATCCGTTTTGACTGGCGAATCCTTAGAATAAAAGGCCCACCAGCGGCTGAGCGGTAAAGTCGCTGAACACTGGTAGTTCGGTCCGAGGTTCGAATCTCGCGAACGGGCTGGCTGCATGGGTGTTTTCGTGCTTTTCCCCACGTGTAACGTTTATACGAGCCAGTTTCCCTTAGAAAGTCATCCATGAAGGCATCCGTCCCCTTAAGCAGATAGCCCTAGTGTGCTTTGCCATAATTAAATATACTACTGCACCTTAGAATAAAAGTAAGACGTCTTGAAAAGAATCCAGGATGTTTTGCATCGTGTTATAAAAATATAATCAATATTTATACATTAAAAGAGAAAGTTTTAAATGTCACCGTTTAAAGACTAATAACATAAAATAATAAGAAATGCAGTACTTTGATTATGTAATTGGTTTACAGTATTAGAGTCATTCTGGTTTAGTCTAGTCAAAGCACACTAGGACTATCTGCAAAAGATGGGAGGAACTGCCTCGTATCCTCGTTACACATAGGGAAACCACGAAAACACAAATGTAGCCAGCTAATTCACCGGGATTCAAACTCCTATATACTTTATTAAAACTGTGTATAATGAATATTATATGTAATGGCTTAAGACGATTTAAGTTACGAAAATAATATCCATAATATTGTCTAAAGTGAATTGATATTCATATTAATTTCAATTTCAATTTCATAGATAGAGAATTATGTGTAAGTTTACTTTTGATAAAAACTAAACTGAAGCATTGATAAATACTTATAACGAGGGAAATAAAAGAAAACATAAAATCTAAAATGTTACAAGAGAAAATAATCAGGAAACTTTAAAATAAAATACTATATTTTAAAAAAGAAAATAAAAATAAATCGAAAAATAAAAACTTTTTTGAAAGTAAGAACAAAAATTTAAAATAAAATGTTGCAATTCTTTAAAAAAAACAGTGCGAAGGAAAATTTAATTTCGTGGAAATAAATATTATTTTATAAAATGAAAAAAAAATATTCTAAAAAAGAAAGGGTAAAAAATAAGACTTCTAAAAAATTTTAATGTACTCATGATGCAGCCAGAAGAAAAATATAAAGTTTTTAAAATATCACTTTAAGTCATTCGTTGGAAATGAGAAATAATTTGAAATTCTCCCATTAGAAATGAAATTATCCAAGTAAAAGGGGGAATAAAGTAGATCAGTAAAAAATAATTGCCTGAAAACATTTTTAAAAATGGAGCTCCAAATCAACAAATAAAATTAACAAAAAAATCAAAATGAAATAAAATAAAAAATAAATAAAAAATATCGCTTCAAATGAACAAATAAGTTATCACAGAAAAATTTGAAAAAAAAAGAATGGAATAATAATAATTTCTTATATCAAAAGATTTTTTTTCTGTTTATTTTATTTTCCCATTAGAATTTGATTTAAAACTGCCCTTTGTATCGATAACCTCACTGTACGCTTTGTAGTTTTTTTATATGTTTCTAAAACGCATTTGGTATGCTTTGTATGCCAGAAAGAGCTAACAAAATCATGGCTAAGTAGTTATAGCGTATGACTGGTGATCCCTAGTCCGCGGCTTTGGGACTGGAGTTATCTGAATCTATGTTTCTCGATGGAGGGGCATGAGTCACTGCATAAGAAGTCGAGACACGTGACCAAAGCAAAATGGCACCGGGAGTGATTCTTTTAAGATGGCAGATAAAGGCCATGTGATTCAGAATGGTCGTAGCTAGAAGGAAATTCAAGATTAAAACACCTTTCAATAACTAAGTAAATACTGTAATTAAGATAAATAATGATTTCAGCCAACTTAAATTAAATAACTTAAACTTAAATTAATTAATAAACTTAAATTAATAATAAATAAACATATATTCGATCAAAATAGTTAAATTAAAAAGTGTGTTCTCCAAACACGTTGTTCAAGGTAAAATCTTAGCTGAAATCGTCAGAATGAAACTTTATAAGGTATTTCTCCCGCCTTCCTAGCGTGCCTTCGTGTTGCAGTGGTTCCGGTATTCCAGAAGTCCGTGCTTCGATCCACAGCGAAGGCGATTGCTCATTTTTCGTCTTACCTGCTTCCAAAAAAATCCTAATGTCTCTACAGTGGCGCTCAACTAAAAGGTTGTTGGATGATGATTCTCCTCACCTAGGATTTGGCGACAGGATCCCCTAAAATCCCAGTCTCCCTTTAAAAGTGGTAGTATATAAGGTATTTCTCCCGTCTTCCTAGTGTGACTTCGTGGTGGAGTGGTTCTGCACGCTGGGTTGGTATTCCAGAGGTCCGTGGTTCGATTCCCAGCGAAAGCGGTTGCATATTTTTCATCTTTACTGCCTCCAAAAAAATTCTAATGTTTCTACAACTTTTCATAAAATCATTGTTGCTACCAGGAGAAAACAAAATAATCTGAAAATAATCTCGATGCATTTCCTATGTTCCAAGCAAACACTTCCACTTCAAAACCACTCACTGTAATGCTCTCAAGTCCGGCATATCACTTCTGACGTCAGTTCCGCCGCCAGAGTGGGCCCAATATTACTCATGTATTTTTCTTCTGTTATTCCTAATTTTTAAATTCTGATATAAATCCGTATTTTGCTACTTCCTTCAATAATGCATAACGTAAAAACAAGTCAAATAATTCAATGAAAATTAGGAGTTTAAATGTTTAAATACTGACCTCTCAGTAATTATGCATGAAAAAGGAAATATGTAAATTTATCGTGAAGAACTATAGGTACACAATATTGCGAAAACGTGGAGTTATCTGTAAAGTTCAATATCGTTCAACATTTACTGGTTACTTTTTATTAGGAAATCCATCAAAGGATCCGGATGAATATCATCAGAAGGATACATTTATAAATAATTTATACCTTTACTATCCTACTACAGGACTTAATTCGGCAAAATAAAACAAGAAATAAACAAATTGAGATTATAAAATGGCAAACTGTTTATGTAACTTTGTGAAATGTCAATGTTTTGCAAAACTTTGCTTTTAAAATCTTGTAAACTTACTTTGATTAGCTTAAATCGAATTTCAGACTCAAACATCGAGCTGAAAATCAAAATACGAGCTAAAATGTGGTCGTATGTCAATCAACCTAGATATGGTAAAAAAAAAAAAAAAAAAAAAAAAAAAAAAAACTTACATTTGAGAATGAAAATTATAACACATATTTATGTGGTTTCCCTTTCATTCAGTAATGCGATTTTCCTATTGAAAGAAAAAAAAATCATATCGTAGGGGGGAAATTTGGTACCTTCTGAGATTGGGGATGGAAGCTAAGAGTAAAGTATTTGCTTTAAGAGAACATGTAAATTAAAACTGAATTGAAAAAGAAGATTATTTGACGAATTTCTGTATTAGCTATAAGTATGTGAACAGTTTTATGTTTAGAGTATATCTTAATTAATTCGTATAACTCACTGAATAAATGTAAAATATTAGGCGAATTTTTTTTCAATTATACTGTCAACCTAATAGCTAATTCTAAAAACGTAGTGTCGTCTGTTGTTGTAGGAGGCGATGTTAATTTAAATACAAACTGCCAATCAGACAAATGAAATACATCACAAGTAACAGATCCGGTACTCCATGCGAAAAAGCAGAGCAGACATGCTTAGAATTATCGTCTTTAACCCACCTGAAAGACAATAAAGAATGAAATGAAAAACAATTTATTTCATTGAAACTCGGGAAATGAGTTTTTTCATTTATTAAAACCAATTTATATTCTAATGGGTTGAGGATAATAGTTTATCCTTGCAGATAGGCCGTTTCAAAGCAAATTGAATGCGATTTTAATTCTGTAAAAGGGCTGAAAAATAAAATAAAAGATACTACAGCTATTCATTTTTCCCTTTAAAAAGGAAGAACTAAAGCGAAACATGAGGCTTAGAGTA